GGAAACAATCCTCAGCCAAGCCAATGCTCACTGTGTTTGTGCAAGCTCAGAATCCACCTGGATACACTTACTCACCCGCTCTGTGGGCAGATTCCCCACACCTGAATCACCTGGATTTAATCCCCCAGCAAACCAACAAAAACAGCACATTGCCATGCTCTGCTGTGCTCACCCAGCAATCTGAAACAAGATGGCTGTTGGGAGAATCAGATTGATCTGACAAATCACACAGTTTGAGCCACAGTTCCAAGATGCAAACATAACAAAAGCTCAAAGAGGCCAATTGCTATTGTGGTTTCTAGATGCAGTTGTTTCATCAGATATCTGAGAAAGGTTTCTTCAGCTTTGGTCAGTGATACCTAAATAGCTGAACTATGCCACCATTCCCTCGATGTATTGAAATAATGGAACAAGTACCCAGAGACTCCCAGAATGGTTTGGGCTGGAAGGGACCTTAAAGCCCATCCCATTCCACCCCCTGCCATGGGCAGGGACACCTTCCACTATCCCAGCCTGCTCCAAGCCCTGTCTAAGCTGGCCTGGAACAGTTCTATTTCCCTAGAGAGAGCGATGCTTTTGCAGCACATGCATTTTTCAATCATTTGTCTCAGCCTTCAATAGCAGCAGAAGTGTTTAGACACCACTGCTGCCTCAACTCAGCACTGAGTATGGCTCCTGCTGTAACATTGCTCTCAACAGACTCAATGCCAGCATCCAAGGCGCTGCAAAGTTGGAGGGCTACAACAATCAGATGCCTCTAAGGCTCAGGTACTTCAAGAGTTTTAGCTCCACCCTGAATTACTTTATTTTCAGCAAACAGTACTTTTAAAAGTGACCAGAAGGAAAAAAATAAAGCAAGGTTTGTACCTTCTCCCATTTTCTCCCACCCACACACTTGCCAGTGTATCTTTGCACTGTCTTGAGCAAGTTATTTCCAATGTACAATCTCATTTCCCCTAAGACTTCAATTATTTCTTCACAATCACTTAATAATCATCATTTCAAAATTAAAATTTGCATTTACAACATGCTTTTTAAAAATTTACTTTTAACAGAAAAACTAGAATAAAGACCACAAAATGCTCTGGAACACAGCAATACATACCTACATGATGTCTGGTATGGTATTCTTACCAATTAAAGCAATAATTTCCCCTTAAATAAATAAATAAATAAATAAATAAAAGCTACTTGAGATGCTCAACACCTGCTGCATCAGCATGTTAGTACTAAGTATATTAATATTTTTATAGACTATTAATAATAGTCTACATCATCTTGGCTAAAGTGTTTTAAAGCCTTTTTATGAAGCATTAAAAATTAGATTTTTCACCATCTTTCCTTGGTTTTCCATCTTGCTAAAGTTTATAAAAATAGAGTGCTAGTCTGAGCCTGGATGGTGAGAAACTGGAACTGACATATTCAGCTGTTACCTACCCTTGCAGATCACCACACCGTGAAACCTCAGAATATTTTCAGTATCCCAAAGACCACTGAAAGCAATTCATATTTTCTCTCCCTGTTTCTAAGCACACAACATCCTTGCTATAAGGAATGTTTAATGTTGACCAAGCAGCGGTGCTGTGAACTACAGAACATGGGAAGGCAGATTTTACTATGGTAAAGTCTGTGTAACAGATTAATAATATTAATTACACCATCATTAAAGTAATATAACAGTCTAAGTTACTGTAAAACTGATTGGCTACTTAGCATGAACTTCCTACAAAAAATACAGAACAAATGCTTTTCAACTGTTGGCTCTGCAACTGTGAGACATGCAAGAACCTGGAAGCAGCCCACTTTTATTTCAGCACCTTTATCCACTGAGGAAAAACTAATGAAGCATTATCACCCAGAACTGTTTTATCCAGTATCACATGTAACTTAGAATAACACAAGGCAAGAAATCTCTGCAAAAAAGGAAGGACAAATCAATTCAGGACCCAGTTTAGCACTTGCTCCCTTCATATTAGATAGCACTCTTGCACTTGAATATAAACAACTGCTGCTGAAGGAGAATTCGAATCTCAGATTATTTCAACAGTCTTTGGTCCAGCAAGTATGCCCAGACACCCCTATGAATTCCAAATGTAAGAGGAACTCCAAATGTAAAAAGGAAGAGGGTTTACACTGCCAATAAAACCTGAAGTGCTGGAAAGACAGTGCCACTCTACATAGGAAAGAAAACTCTAGGAATCAGTAATAGGAACTCTACTTCACTGAAAGTCCCAAATTGCTTAAAATTCCAAGCATGTTCTTCTCCAGAGCTGTCAAACCTCTCTTGAGCAGGAGAGTATTAAATGAGCAGTTCAAGGAGCACATGTAGGTTGGAGTTGATGTTTAAAGCAGCCTGAACTTAACAAGACTATACTCTTCTCTTTACGGGGTACAGTTCTCCTTGCAGTGGAAGGAACTCTTCCAGGAAGTCACTTGGTATTTTCTCACAGCAGCCACATGCCAAGCACACCACAATTCCTGTCAGTGAACCTCAAGTACCCTGAGGTTAAAGGATTTTGTGATTTGGGGACTTATCAGTACAACACTAAGCTCTTTGCAGCAAAATTGGAAGGCAACCACCACAAGCCAAATGTCTGTTTTTCCTACATGCAACACATGGCACTACCACACGGATTTAAAAGCTGCTATCAGTGAGAAAGAGTTAGCTAAAGGAGGTTTACCCAAAAATACAGCCTGGTGGAGTTGTAATCCAAAGGGGTGAGGAGTTGTTGTTTTATCTCTAACTCTGCAACTATTCCATTTTTAAATATTTAAGAGCTAGCTGAAGAGCCCTCAGAAGACATACAATACATTCATTTTCTAGAGAAATCGTTCCCAGCTATCAGAGCTACTGCTCTCATGACTCAGTGTCCAATAAAAGTTAGACAGCAAATTATCTGTGAAGGTTTTACTCATCCTCTCAGCTCTTGAAACATGTTTTTAGACTGCTATTTTGGTTTTCAAGTCTTTTGTGATTGACAAATGAGCTGAGCCACAGTTAGGTAACAGAAATCATTAATACATGAAAAGACTATCACGAGTCACATGCTAAGGAGATAACTACATCCAGTGCTCCACATCCTCCTCCCACTTCCACACAAGCCTGGCACATCACTGGAGCCCAAGCATCTTATTCACAAACACGTTTATACCACAGAAACATGTATTAATTACCACTTGAAAAAACGCTCTGCTGCAGGCATCATCCATCCCACAGAAATCCAAACAGCAGCAGCACAGAGAAGGGGACAGTGCTTCCCACCAGATGTATTAATAAGTTTTAAACTGCTCAGGAGAGGAAAGAAAAGGCAAAGCACCCTCAGGAGGGGATAGCCCCACACCATAGTCTCAGTAGTGACTGCTAAAGCAGAGAATATGCACAAATCTCCAGCACACACTTGGTCAGATGTAGATGTGAGTTGGGGACTGCTCTGTAATAAGTGACAGGCACTGCCAGCCTCCCTGCTGTGCCACACAACACACTAACCCCAAAATGTTAACTGCAAGAACCAGGATTTCTGTCTATTCAAGCTCCACTGCTCCAGAGGCACACAAATAAATCTTTCAGGCAGCAATCTCAATAGCAGCTTCTCCATCGGGACGTTTTGATTGCATATCATTTAAAGAGCAGCTAGGCCACCAACACAAGACGGTTTTAGGCAGCTCTATCTCAGCTGCTGTACATCACACTCTGCTACCTTGAATCCCTTCCAAAACAGCGACAGGATACTCCAGTTGGAAAAGCACACGATGTGAAGCTCAGCAAGTTATCATGCAAAATAAGTCATAAATTTCTCCACAAAATACATATTCCTAGCCAATACCGTTTGCTCTTTTTAACTCCACCGACAGTTAAGAAAAAATATCTGCAGACTTCCCTACGCTGGTGATTTCTTTCCTTATTTTGTGCATCCTAAGCAGTTCAAGCCTGTGTAGTGCTCCTGCGGGGATAGATGCACATAAATCTAAGCTTAGAGGGCTGTTATCTCCATCTTGCCTCCCGACCTGTTTTTACACTACTGCACAGACCGACACCGCTCTGTAACCCAGCTGCACGTCTTGTTTACCCGCTTCACACCACCAAACCACAGCCCCACACTGTCTCCATCACATGCTGCAGGGAGCGCCGGAGAAAATTTCATTTTCCCGAACCCTTCTGCAGGCAAAGCGAGCATCACCCTTCCCACCGTACCCCAGCCCGAAGGAGCCCGCTGCTCTCCCGCACAGCAGCGGCAGACGAGTAGCACGAGTAACTTCTAAACCCCACAAATCCCAGCAGAGGGGCCACCCGGGGCATGCAGCGCCGAGGAAATGATGGGGACCAAGCGGGAACACCTCCTGCTCCCTGAAAACGCCAGCCACGAGGGGTGGAGGAAGGAAGGACAGGCAGCCCGGACCCGCGGGCTGGGGGGCACGGGGAAAGGGGGAGATGGAGGGAAGTGGGGAGCAGGACCATGGGCTTGGGAGATGAGGGGGAGCAGGGCCATGGAGGAGGCGGAGCGGAGGGGACAGGGCTATTTACGGGGTGGCAATGGTAGGGGGGAAGAAGGGGAGCAGGGAGGGAAGGGTAAGAAACAGAGCCATGGGCTGAGGGAGGATGGATAAACAGAGCCGTGGTCTTGGAGAAGGGACGGGGGGGGGATGGATAAACAGAGCCATGCGCTGGGGGAGGCTTGAGACGGAGAACAGGACTGGCGGACGCTTGGTGCGGGGGAGCAGAGCAGTGGGCTGCGGGAGGGTTTCGGGGCGCAGGGCCATGGCCTGGGTAAGCTTCGGGGGGTGCAGAGCCAGGGGTTGGCGGAGGTTTTGGGGGGTGCAGGGCCATGGGCTGGGGGAGGTTTTGGGGGGTGCAGGGCCAGGGGTTGGGGGAGGTTTTGGGGAGTGCAGGGCCATGGGCTGGGGGAGGTTTTGGGGGGTGCAGGGCCAGGGGCTGGGGGAGGTTTTGGGGCACCCTGCGCCGCTCGCTCCCTCTCCCCGCCGTGCCGGGGCCGCCGTCTCACCTTCGATGGCGATGACATGCTCGCGGATCTGGTTCTGCAGCACGGGCTCCTCCACCCGCTCCAGCAGCTCGTAGATGGAGTAGATGTTGGGGTGCACCGACTCGAAGCGCTGGATCTCGGCCCGGATGGCTGCCGAGTTCGCCAGCTGCTGCTGGTAGTTCATGGCGCGGCCGCTCCGCTCCGGCCCCTTCACGCCGAGACCCCCGGGCGGCGGCGGGGGCGAGCCCGGGCCGCCGCCGCCGCCTCACTCACCGGACACCCCCCCCCGCCCCGTGCCGGGCCGGCAGCAGCGCCTTGGCCTCGCAGCGCGCTGTCACTTCACGACGGCGGCGGCGGGGCGGGGCAGGGCCGCCCCCGGCCCCATGGAGGGAGGGAGGAAGGACCCGCTCCCGGTCGCGGTCCTGCTCCGCCGGTCGCGGTCCCGCCGCCTCCTCAGCCCCTCACGGCTCCCGCTCCCGGTTCTGCCGCTGCCGCCGCCGCCCCCGGCGCGCGCGCCCCCCCCCAGCCAATGGCCGGGTCCCCCCCGGCAGGCGCGCGCCCCCGCAGCAGCCAATGGTCAGGGCCCCCCCCGCGGCCTCGCGCCCTCCCGCGCGCTCGCCCCGCGTCCTTCCCCGCTTAGCCCCGCTTCACGCTGGCGCAGGCCACGCCTCCTCCCTGTGACGTCATCGCGCAGGTCCCGCACTGCCCCGCCCTCGGGCACGCTGGGAAATGTAGTCCCGGAGGGAGGCGCTGAGGGAGGGTCGGGGTGGCGCCGCTCCGCGTCCCCTCAGGGACACCGGACCCGTCTCGAACCCGCCCCGGTCCCGCTCTGGTCGGAGAACTCGGGGCTCGTTCCCAGGAACGGCCGGCAGCGCTCACCCCGCAGGGCAGGATGGAGCCCCTCACCGTGAGTCCGGCCCCGCGGCCGCTGGAGCCCTGAAAGTGATGAAAGTAGGAGTTTGTGCCCAAAGTCCGCCATTCATGCCTGGAATGGCAGCCCCAGCCCTGGAAGGGTTCCAGGCCAGGTCAGACATTGGGGCTTAGAGCGCCCTGGGATAGTGGAAGTTGTCCCTGGAATGGCAGGGGTGGAATGGGATGATCCTTAAGGTTCCTTCCAGCTGAAACAATCCTATAATTCTATGGCTTATCAGAATTGTCTGGTGGAGTAATGAAGCACTGTTGGTATTACACAAACAGGGTTATTTGCAATATCGGCAAGCAAGCTGTGCCCTGTCAGCCACTGACCTCGATGAATCCATTTTTGTGATCAATATTCTATGGATTTAAGCTCCAAAGCTGTGAAACGTGGAGCAAACTTTGCTGTAGGAAACAGCATAAGGACAACTTGGTATAGGATAGCCTCAGGAAAACTGTATCCATCCATTCTAGTGACATATACCACAGGAAGGAAGACAGTAATTTCGATAACTTCCCCCCCAAAATGAATTTTTTTGGGTATAGAGCTCTGGCCTGGGGTGGAATGAAATGAGCTTTAAGTCCCTTCCAACCCAAACCGCTCTCGATGTGATGGTTTGCCCCAAAAAAGAAAGAACTAAAGAGGTGACAAATGAAGCTGTGGTATGAGATTGAGTCTTTGGATGCTGCTGGGACTGGAGCTTCCTCAGCAGTGGTTGATGTCTGCTGCAGGAGTTGTCTTCTGCTCATCTGAACAGTTCAGGGGCATACTGCCATAGATGCCTGTGTCTTCTTCCCTCCTCCTTCTCAGCAGAATTTGGCATCATTTTTATCACCTTTCTCGTTTTTATTTTTTAATCCTAGGAGGAAATTCTTGAGTGGATAAAAAAATAAATTTAAAAGTTAGGAAGAATATAGCTCCCTTTCCACTAGTGAGTGCCACTCAGGGCATTAACGATGCTGATGAAAACATGTGAAACATAAGAGGATTTTTGCTTTCATTTACCTTAAACTGTTTGAATAAGCTAAATGTATGTAGAAATCTGGATGAAAGCTGTAATTCTTCCCTTTTCCCCCCGCTAGCCTGATCTGGAGTAGAGGCACTACCTCACATTGTGTCTCAGAAAATGCCAAAACAAGCAGCAGAGCCAAGAGTCAGGCAACAGCCTCTGCTGTATGTGGGGCTGATTGTTTCCAATGCTGCCATATGCTTTGTGTTCTTCCAGCTCTAAAATTCATGGAAAACAACTCCCAGAGTAGTCTCAGCTGTAAATGAATGCAGCTACTGCACACAAATAACTGATGCATTAAAACCCTGTGTTAATAGAAAGCCTTTTTGTGATATTTTCATCTGTAGTCCTCCCATGAAGCTTTTGCTACCCTGATTTTTTTACTACATAATAGCTTTTGTGTAAGCTTTGTAAAATCACAGCAAAATATAAGCCACTGTTGCAGCTTTCATAGATTTCTTGAGGAAGAAGGCCTTAACAATAAGTATTTTGCTTTTGCTTGCAGCTGAGGTTGGCCTGAAATGCTGCTGGTGGTGCACAGAGAGATGCTGGATCCTTCTCTTTGCTCTCAAACTCTGCTCTGGAGGGTCTGGCTTCCAAAGTGTTCCACCAACCTTCAGTGTGAGCTGGCAGAGAGTGACTTGGGCAGCTCTGCTGAGAGCAGGAAGGAATTCAGGTTTGTTTTTCTTTGCTCTGGGAGCAGGGCTAGCGTGGGCACTTCACAGCTTTTTGGGGTCTGGTTTTGTCAAAGGCAAGGTGAGCGTGCTCATCTGGGGAGGGGATGAAGCTCAGCCTATTTCACCATTGTGGAGGGGCTGTAAGTGCAGCAGACAGAGTGGTCCCAGTGTGGGTCACCCTTCTGGCACTGGTTTTCCTTTCTGAGGGTGAAAGCTTGCCAGGGGTGAAGCTTCCCACCGCTCTCCCACGCAGCTGGTTCTGTGCTGGAACAAAGTTCCATCTGTGCTGCCTTCCTCCTCCTCCTCCCCATCTGGCAGATCCACTCACTGCCCTGCCTACAGAAAGCCAGCCTGGATGGTTTCCTTCTGCTCTTGACGCCTTATTCCTGGAGGTACCAGGAACTGGAAAGCAGCACTGAATCACTGGCTCAAGCACTTCCATCTCCCATCACATGACAGGGCTTATCCACTTCCTGCTGTTCCCAGTCTGCCCACCAAGCCCTCCAGAGAGTGGAGGAAAGAATTTTGGGGAGTCACAATTGATGCACTTGGACTCAAGGCATAGGGACAGTGACATGTTGCTTTCTAACTGAGCCTGACATGTCCACCCTAATGGAAACATCACTGCACAAAAGTTCCACAGAGATGTTGCAGGCAGGGCTCATGAGCCATTGAGGTGATGTTTAAGCACAGATCTTGGAAATGGAGAATTCTAGAGGAATTTCATTTCAACCCTGTCTGTACATTCCCCTAATGCTTTCCTGGCTGCTGAAATGGGAATTAGGCAGCACTAGCTTTTAGTTACTAATCCAGTAGCTGAAATGTTGATTGGGGGAAAAAAATGTCTAAAAGGTGTTCAAGCATCCTATCCTGAACTGTGCCTGAATTTAACATAAATTAAGCATCACAGACAGCTTGACACAGGGACTCCATTGTACACCTAACAGGAAGGGATTAACTGAAAAAACTGAGAGCATAAGGACTCCTGCACCATCCAGGAGATGTTATAAGAGAGATCTCACCTGATGGTTGTCAAGCAACATTTCACTTGCCTGGGACTCTTTCTGTGTCTGCTCACAATCTTAAAGCCTGGCTGTTCCTGGGGTTGCTGTTGGTGTGAGCAGTGTTTTGTTTAATAGGCAGGGAGTGCCTGGAAAAACACAGGAGACAGAGTCTTAGAGATGCATCTTTGTGCCTACTACTACTACTGATATTGCTGTAGGGATTGAAGTCAAACCCCTATAAAAAACAGATATGGAAACATCAAGTTTTCCTGAATGATCTTCACCCTACTTTGCAGTGAATATAAAAATTTAAATAGGTTAAGCTTCCTCTCCTAACAAATTGGGATGAAATTCTGTTATTTTCCTGGGTAAATATTTGGGTCAGTCAGTTACTATTAGGGAGTGATTAGATTGCTCAAGAGGCTTTGAAACAAATGTAACTAATGAATTAACCTCATTCAGGGAGTGTGAAATCTGTTCCAGGAGAAATGCCAACTAGTTCAAACAATCCTAATTATGGAGCAGCAACAACAAGCGGCTGTCGGAGCTGTAGCTCATTCCCAGTGCTCCTGTCAGACCTGGGAAAATGCTGTTCTCTACCCAACCTGCCTGAAAAAAGGTGGCATGGCAAAAGCAACCTGCATTTCTGGAGGTGGGAGCACAGATCAAATCCCTGCTGCCAGGTCAAATTATCCTGCTGAAGGGGTCTGCTAATCAGAAGTGAGCCACACACCAGCACAGAGCTGCAGAGCAGGGAACTAGCAAAAACTGTGTGTTCACCATATGGGGAAAGGAATCTGAGAGTCACTTCTCAATTCTAGCCCCAGGGACTTGGATTTCCACTAACCTGGAACCTTCTGAAATGTTAAAATGAACCATCTTTTCAAATGCCTGAGTTTTGGCTCCTGGTTGGTCGAAGTTTCACTGTAAAACCATTTACAGCATTTGCAGATTTGCAGAACTACTATCCTCATTAAACCAAAGTCATTGCTCAAATCTGGAGTTGTGCTGTGGCTTTGATCAGGCTGGTGATGGTCTGTGCTCCAGCTTTAAGTTGTTTTCAGTGAAAATAAATGGCTTCTTCACACAAGGCAGGTTTCAGGTCCTAAGTTCTACCCGAGCTACCCAAAGCTTAGACAGTTTAATTGCAGCAAAGACTCAAGTCACATACAATAAAAAAAAATTGTTCAATTGGTACCCCTGAGTCAGGGCTCAGCCAACATCCTGAATTTTATAGCAGAGCAAATCCAGTGACAGCTTCATATGCCAGCTCCAAGATACTCAGCACTTTATTGAGCTCTTATCATGGCTAAATATGATTACACTGAAAGTGTCTCTAAGCTTGTTGCTGTTGTCACTTCCTTGACAGAGAATCAATATTTGATTCGCCACATAATTCCATGTTAAGCTCAGGTCTCGCTTCAGCTGTGACATGCTGACAGGGCTTGAAAAGTTATGGAATATTGTAGGCTCAGTTGTTACCTTGGAACTTTCAGACACAGGCTATTGATTTAATGCAGGAAAACCATGGGAGAAGTCACTCTAGATTAGTTCAAGCTCATCTTTTAGAACAATTGCCTTAATATTTAAGAACATGTTCTATGCATAATGCTGTGACATCCAGTGGTAAGGAATTA